CCCACAGCTGCCAATCCATCTACTGATCAATAAGGTTACTAATACCCCATCCAGGTCTAATGATCAATAATGCTTCTGTACCTGAGGTCTACCCACTGATCAATCAATACCCCTTCTGTACTGCCCACCCAGATCTACCAATCAATTTTATTAATAAATCTCCCATATATCACTATCCAGATACCAATATATCAATATCTTTTCTCTTCCCGCGCACCCAGATCTACCAATTAATAATATATCAATACCCCTTTTGTACCCGCCCATATATATCAATAAACCTCCTATACTGACTGCCCAGGTCTACCGATGTATCAATACCCCTTCTGTACTACCCACCCAGACCCACCAATCAATATATTAATAAATCTCCTATATCTCATACCCAGATACCAATATATCAATACCCCTTCTGTGCCCACCCACCCAGATCTATCAATATATTAATAAGCCTCCTGTACCTGACTACCCAGATCAGGTGATCAATAAATCAATTCACATCCTATACACCCACCAATATCTACTAATCAATATATAAATACCCCTTCTGTACCTGCCCCCTCTCCCCCCACACACACACAGCTCTATGAATCAATAAATTAATAAACCTCCTATACCTGACTACCCAGATCTACCAATCAATATATCAATACACCTTCTATACCTCCAAATCCAGATTTACTTATCAATATATTGATACACCTGTGTATCCTGCTTGACCAATCAATAGATCAATGCACATCCTATACACCCACCCATATCTACTAATCAATATATCAATACACATTCTATGTCACCCAACCAGATCCACCAATCAATACTTTAGTATATCAATACCCCTCCTATGCCTGCCCAGACCTACCGATCAATATATCAATACCCCTTCTATGCCTGCACATCCTGATCTACTGATCAATATATTCATCTCCTTCGCCTGTCCACCCAATTTACCAATCAATATGTCAATACACCTCCAATAGCCCACCCAACCCGATCCACTGACCCTTACATTGGGGGTCAGTGGGAAGAATGCTCCTTACATTGGGGGTCAGTGGGAAGAATGTCCCTTACATTGGGGGTCAGTGGGAAGAATGTCCCTTACATTGGGGGTCAGTGGGAAGAATGTCCCTTACATTGGGGGTCAGTGGGAAGAATGTCCCTTACATTGGGGGTCAGTGGGAAGAATGTCCCTTACATTGGGGGTCAGTGGGAAGAATGTCCCTTACATTGGGGGTCAGTGGGAAGAATGTCCCTTACATTGGGGGTCAGTGGGAAGAATGTCCCTTACATTGGGGGTCAGTGGGAAGAATGTCCCTTACATTGGGGGTCAGTGGGAAGAATGTCCCTTACATTGGGGGTCAGTGGGAAGAATGTCCCTTACATTGGGGGTCAGTGGGAAGAATGTCCCTTACATTGGGGGTCAGTGGGAAGAATGTCCCTTACATTGGGGGTCAGTGGGAAGAATGTCCCTTACATTGGGGGTCAGTGGGAAGAATGTCCCTTACATTGGGGGTCAGTGGGAAGAATGTCCCTTACATTGGGGGTCAGTGGGAAGAATGTCCCTTACATTGGGGGTCAGTGGGAAGAATGTCCCTTACATTGGGGGTCAGTGGGAAGAATGTCCCTTACATTGGGGGTCAGTGGGAAGAATGTCCCTTACATTGGGGGTCAGTGGGAAGAATGTCCCTTACATTGGGGGTCAGTGGGAAGAATGTCCCTTACATTGGGGGTCAGTGGGAAGAATGTCCCTTACATTGGGGGTCAGTGGGAAGAATGTCCCTTACATTGGGGGTCAGTGGGAAGAATGTCCCTTACATTGGGGGTCAGTGGGAAGAATGTCCCTTACATTGGGGGTCAGTGGGAAGAATGTCCCTTACATTGGGGGTCAGTGGGAAGAATGTCCCTTACATTGGGGGTCAGTGGGAAGAATGTCCCTTACATTGGGGGTCAGTGGGAAGAATGTCCCTTACATTGGGGGTCAGTGGGAAGAATGTCCCTTACATTGGGGGTCAGTGGGAAGAATGTCCCTTACATTGGGGGTCAGTGGGAAGAATGTCCCTTACATTGGGGGTCAGTGGGAAGAATGTCCCTTACATTGGGGGTCAGTGGGAAGAATGTCCCTTACATTGGGGGTCAGTGGGAAGAATGTCCCTTACATTGGGGGTCAGTGGGAAGAATGTCCCTTACATTGGGGGTCAGTGGGAAGAATGTCCCTTACATTGGGGGTCAGTGGGAAGAATGTCCCTTACATTGGGGGTCAGTGGGAAGAATGTCCCTTACATTGGGGGTCAGTGGGAAGAATGTCCCTTACATTGGGGGTCAGTGGGAAGAATGTCCCTTACATTGGGGGTCAGTGGGAAGAATGTCCCTTACATTGGGGGTCAGTGGGAAGAATGTCCCTTACATTGGGGGTCAGTGGGAAGAATGTCCCTTACATTGGGGGTCAGTGGGAAGAATGTCCCTTACATTGGGGGTCAGTGGGAAGAATGTCCCTTACATTGGGGGTCAGTGGGAAGAATGTCCCTTACATTGGGGGTCAGTGGGAAGAATGTCCCTTACATTGGGGGTCAGTGGGAAGAATGTCCCTTACATTGGGGGTCAGTGGGAAGAATGTCCCTTACATTGGGGGTCAGTGGGAAGAATGTCCCTTACATTGGGGGTCAGTGGGAAGAATGTCCCTTACATTGGGGGTCAGTGGGAAGAATGTCCCTTACATTGGGGGTCAGTGGGAAGAATGTCCCTTACATTGGGGGTCAGTGGGAAGAATGTCCCTTACATTGGGGGTCAGTGGGAAGAATGTCCCTTACATTGGGGGTCAGTGGGAAGAATGTCCCTTACATTGGGGGTCAGTGGGAAGAATGTCCCTTACATTGGGGGTCAGTGGGAAGAATGTCCCTTACATTGGGGGTCAGTGGGAAGAATGTCCCTTACATTGGGGGTCAGTGGGAAGAATGTCCCTTACATTGGGGGTCAGTGGGAAGAATGTCCCTTACATTGGGGGTCAGTGGGAAGAATGTCCCTTACATTGGGGGTCAGTGGGAAGAATGTCCCTTACATTGGGGGTCAGTGGGAAGAATGCTCCTTACATTGGGGGTCTACTTATCCGTGGTCCTCCGTGTCTTGTCGCTCACTGTGGTGTCTCCTCTGCACCTCCTCAGGTTCCTCTCTATGCCGCCTCTCGCTGGACCTGACAATCTGGGCTTCGGACGCCGGCCATTGGCTCCCGTGATGCTCCACCCACCAATGGCATGTCGCCTTCCCCACCTGCAGAGATGACGGCGAGCGACCTGCGGGATCGTCCCTTCTACTGCCGCGAATGGGTCTTCCAGAGGCTTCAGCACTGCCTGGAGGGGCTGGGCGGATCGCGGGCCCCCGGCATCCTGATCACAGGGG